GAATTTGATGTTCTTGTCAAGATTATTATTCTTGCTATTTTCTTATTTCAAGAATACTAAATTCTTATCAAGATTTACCTCGCTTGTTTTTAGAAAATATATTCTTGGTAAGAATAATTTTTCTTGTTTCAGGAATTATATATTAATGGCGAGAATAAGATTGCTCAAAACGAGAATAATATTGCTCAATTTAAGAATTTAACAAGAATTTTTTTCTTTCAAGAATTTAAAATTTTGCTGTGCATGTTTAGGAAGCCTACTTTTACATCTAATCTTCTTAATTTTTCACGTTTTCCACGCAGTTCCCTTTGCTTTTCATTTATCTTTACATTTTCATCGCGGATCTTCTGCGCTTCCTTCAAAATATTCTCTCTCTTTTCTTTCTGCAAAGCCATATATGCAGCCACGGGAAATCTACGGTAATTTTTCCTTCTGGAACACGACAACATTGCCAAATTGGAGTGAGATCTTGAGCGGATTATTACGAACAGAAAGACGTATTTGAAAATCTAAAACGATACGTTTCAAGAGCAAGACACAAACTTCAAAATAACAGCAAATAAAAAAAATATTGACTTGCCTGTAACGATATCTTCCGCTTGAGTGTCGATGTACATATTTTCGAAAAATTGCTTTATTGTAAAGGCTTCAACAATAACTTTCAGTCAGGATTTCGTAGCCAAGTTTGGTATGAATCGAAAGCCCGAAATATGCCCTTTCTAATTGCCTTCCTCGGATAACTCTTAAAATCCCAAAAAGGCTTCTGGGAAGTGAAAAAAGTGCGCCGAATTTTCAAAATTTCCAAAACAATTAGAACTTAGTTTCCAAGGTAACTGGAGCAAACCGCGCGGGTCACGTGAACAACGCGCGTTTTGATATATATCTGTGCCCGTCGTGATTCGCGACATTTTGTCGACTATTCGTACTTTTGCTGCATATTCGCACTTCTTGTATCAAATGTCCTGTACAAAGCCTTGATTTGTACAGATCAAAGACACATTGTGGACAATACGAAGAGACCAACTTACTTGAATTCAGGATTTTGTCTAATACCAACTAAGAAAAAGGTAGGAGCTGTATGTATAACTATAATTTCATTAACTAATGGACTAACATGTATATCATTATTATACAAAATGTTGAAGAATCTAATTTTTCAAGCAACTATATACATTTTATAAGTTTCGCGCAATGGCATTAATAGGGTGTCTTCAGTATTCATTGGAACGAATCAAAGTCGCTGTTTACAGAATACCTGTCGGTTTCAGATCAAACCACACCTTGTTCTCAGCTTAAAGTTACTACCTTTAATAGCATATACCTAATTTCAAGACAACGTCCTTTGTAAGGTTATATTTGTTGTGTTCAATGTTATATTTGTTAAGGTTCTTTTTATATATTGTGGCTACCGATAACATTTCTCGTCCCTTTATATGGCTTGCTTCATTTACTGACAACGACCTTTGGTACGTAAATGTGTAAAATTTCTACTTTCGTTTTACTTTCTCCATTGTTCGGCAGAAAGACGAAATCGATACCGAAAGTGAAACCAAACTGCAACAAGTCGATTCTATATATATTTTTTGATAGCATATCTGTTTAGTTGTTTAATTTAATTACAAAACTGGCTGAAATGTAAATTGGGGGCCATTATCAAGATGAATGAATTTTTACGTACATTTAGCTAAATCATATTGATTTTACTATTTCGAAATAAGTAGCTTCTTCTTGGAATCGCGCGTTCTGGGAATCCGACTAAGCATTTGCTTTTATCTATGACGTATATTCTCGTCAACCGATTAATCGCAATTATAATATCCAAAATATAAAATGAAACTAGCTCTAAAAAAAAGCATTTTGAAAATCTATTCAAGATATCGATTAAAATCAAGGTAAAATGTATTACGATATAAAATGTTGGCTTTAATTCAGTTCACATTTTGGATTTTTATATTTTCTCAAATTGTCGACTAGAAATGTGTTTGGGCAAGTACTGATTATCTGTGTACGATGTGAGCACAGTTTGTATGTTTAATATACACATTATTTTCTGTTAAAAACAATGAAAGGTAACACACGCTTCATACGTTGCGCTTCCCAAGAGTAAAATTCAAATATAATATGCTTTTAATGCTTTGTCTTATAAACTCAAGGCATCTCCCGACTAACAATAGAATTACACTGACAAATATCATGTGTACAATTATAACGTTTGATGCCATGTCATCAAGATTAGTTGTGCATCGATATAAAAATGTTGAGAATAATTCTCCTCATGATGATTGCAGTAATGCGTGAAACTCTGAGTAGAGACAAAAAACATTTTAACTATATAAGAACGGTCATTATATAATTAGCCAGCTCTACAGAATTTTAAGTATTGAGCACTCTCTTGTACTATACGTTACAAAAGCTTACACTATTATACGCTATATATGTACTATTATGGCAATTTTACAATATGATATAGATTCAACGATGGCAGGAACAGCTAAACGGTTTGGTCTCATTACACTGGCGATAGTAAAGATGGTAAGCTTAAAATTATTAAAAGCTCATGCATGCAGTAGGCTATATGATTTATAGCTACACAATGCATTCAAATTGTAATTGTTTGTTTATTTCTTTGGTTTTCAAGACGTAGACCTTTGTTTTTACGAGCTTAAATCCTGTGTAGGTCATGTCAGCGTATGTTTTGACTTATATTAAATATTTAATCCATGCCGTGCATGCTCATGGCCCTTACTAATTTGCATATCAACCTCGTCCCAACCGTTTAATATGGCGGCGAAATATTAATTATTACTTTTCTAATCCGGAGAGTAAATGCTATAGAAGACCAACAGTGTTTATCTCCGAAATTCTTCGAATCGGTCTTCCCTGTGAATTCTGTACGGCTATCTATCAAACGAATCAATATACCTTCTGTCGAAAAAACCTGCAGTGAGGATTGTTCGTATGCGACGTTCAAAAGAGTTGTACAAGTTTGTGGTTTAGTTCTTTGTATGGAATGAAAATTCAAATCTTTTCAGAGCATTGTATAATGACTAAGGGCCTGTTTACATGGAGGTAGGGTGACCCTATCAGGAGGGTTACCCTAGCAAGCGGGTCAGAAAATAGCGAGCGTTTACATGAGGTAGGGTGACCCTACTGCTAGGGCTATGTTGCCAGATAGGGTAACCCTACCTATGCGTGGTTACTAAGCGGTCTCTATGAGATAAATGGCGTCGAAACGCAAAGTTTTAGCGGCAAGTTGTGTAATGCTATTTATTGGGCCTTTGCTTGCTTCATTTCAATGTTGTGGTCTGTTATTTCCGAGGTTATTTCAATATCGTGGTCTGTTATTTCAATGTTGTGGTCTATTGTAATATTACTTGCACTGCGTAAATAAGCGTAATGTATTCCTTGATATAGTCCAACACAACAGTTTTTCGACATGTTCGGCTGACCAAGAGCATTTATTTTGTTTTTTTGACGTCGATGAGGATGCGCCGGAATTTTGCTTCCTTTTCGCCGCCTTTGACAATTTGTTATCGAAACTACATCATTCGCAGCGTTCTCGTCCAAAGTCAAAGCTTCGTTCTATGCCTCTGCTTCCTTATTTGTAAATTGCTTATCCTTTTTATTTTCTGGTGTCGTTTAAAATACTCGCCAGGCTGATATGTTCATATGTATAATGATCTAGCGACGCCATTCTTGTTTGTCTGTCACAGTAGGACGTATAAAACATGACCCGCTTGCTAGGGTAACCCTACCTGACGCGTTTACATGGCTTATGTAAACAAAAAGATAGCCCTGCTGCTAGGGTCACCCTATCTGTTTGATAGGGTAACCCTACCCCTAGGGTAACCCTAGCGTGCATGTAAACGCTTCCTATAAAACATATTGAAGTAGGGTAACCCGCTTGCTAGGGTAACCCTTCTGCTAGGGTCACCCTACCTCCATGTAAACAGGCCCTAAAAGATAATGGTTAGTTGAAGGACAACTGATACAAAAGATACGAATACTTCAGCTTGAAACTAGGTACAAGTTCATGGACATCCGTTACATGGACATGAATATTTCAACAATATTTAAATATATGATTATTAAGTATATAAAAATGATTGCCGTCTTATATGCGCAAATGTTGGGCTGCGGTATTTACGATATCTTGCGGTGTAATTATTTTTATTTTTCACATAAAGCAGGCAAGACCTTCACTCACACGTTAACAGTAATTCCCCACATAAACACTTGGAAACCGAACTACAGCATCCCATGCAGATGCCATACAGGACAAATAACATGCAGCCTATACTTTAACACAGTTAAACAACTAAATCGGCGTGATAATCAGTGTGATAATTTTTGCTTAGGCAGCCTAAACCAAAGCTAGTTTTCTAGAATTAATTCAAAGAATCTTAAGAACTGAACCCCAACAATAACTATGTATGTGCATCCCTGAATTAACCCTTTAACTAATGACAATGCGCCCAAATGTGCCCACTTTATATTATGGCCAGTATATGGTCTCGAGTGCAATTTGGTATAACATGCACGAATGAGTTTTTCAAAGACCCCAAAATAGCACGAGTCCGAAGGACGAGTGCTAGTTGAGGTCTTTGAAAAACTCACGTGTGCAAGTTTATCCAAATTTCACGAGAAACCATGCTATTATACTTATTAATAGTTTACATAAAAATGTTCGAGACAGTTGTTGTTTAGAGACAAAAAAAATTTGAAGTAAGAATAGTATAATTACATTCGCTCTACGAAATTTTATATATTGAGCACTCTCTTCACTATATGTAACAAAACTTGTAATACAGGAATGTCATGCAATACGGCGGTTAAATGTTAGTTTATCTATACTATGCCACGCTTCTTTAAACTCACGGGCATGTTTCGTAGTAGCTTGCCTAGCCATCTCGTTTGAGACCAGTCAAATTTGTGTCCGTTATCATCTGCGTGCTTGGCTGGGAGTGAATTATGGTCATGTCTGTTAATGGCGTTTTGATGTTCGGTTAATCTTGTCCGAATTTTCTTAGACGTTTGTCCAATGTACTTGTCGGGGCAGTTTTTGCAAGTAAACATGTAAATGGCGTTACGTTTTTCGGTTACGTTGGTTTTGTCTTGATGATTGGTGAACTCGGATCTAAGTTTGCATGTTGGTTTGTGTGCAATGTCGATGCTGAACGGTCTGAGAAGTCCAGCTGTCATTTCCGACGTGGTGTTTATATAAGGAAGTGTGATCCTCTTTCTTGTTTGGTTTGGTTGGTCTGTGTTAGTTCGTTTCCTATGTGATAGTACTTTGTTGACAAAGTCCAAGGGGTAGCCATTCTTGTGAAAAGTAGAGTATAAGTATTTGCGTTCGTCTCGTTTAGATTCCTAAGTGCTATGCAGTGTGTGTCAATTCTGTTGAAAAGTGTTTTTATGCAACTGATTTTGTGCTGTGTGGGGTGGTTGCTATTGTAATTTAATATTTGGTCCGTGTGCGTTTTCTTGTATATACTTGTGTGTTTAAGGTGCCGTTGTCAGTTGATCGCAAGAAAACGCACACAGACCAAATATTAAATTACAATCGCAACCACCCCACACAGCACAAAATCAGTTGCATAAAAACACTTTTCAACAGAATTGACACACACTGTAGCACTGAGGAATCTAAACGAGACGAACGCAAATACTTATACTCTACTTTTCACAAGAGTGGCTACCCCTTGGACTTTGTCAACAAAGTAGGCTACTATCACATAGGAAACAAACTAACACAGACCAACCAAACCAAACAAGAAAGAGGATCACACTTCCTTAAATAAACACCACGTCGGAAATGACAGCTAGACTTCTCAGACCGTTCAACATCGACATTGCTCACAAACCAACATGCAAACTTAGATCCGAGTTCACTAATCATAAAGACAAAACCACAAAACCGAAAAACGTAACGCCATTTACATGTTTACTTGCAAAAAACTGCCCCGAAAAGTACATTGGACAAACGTCTAAGAAAATTCGGACAAGATTAACCGAACATCAAAACGCCATTAACAGACATGACCATAATTCACTCCCAGCCAAGCACGCAGATGATAACGGACACAAATTTGACTGATCTCAAACGAGATGCCTAGGACAAGCTACTACGAAACATGCCCGTGAGTTTAAACGGAAGCGTGGCATAGTATAAATAAATTAACATTTAACCGCCGTATTGACATTCCTGTAATATACTTACAACTAAAACACTCACACAAAAGTCCTGTTTCGCCTTCATTAACCTTTAACCCACCCGCAACTTCCTTCTCAATATCAACTCACGATGATTGCAATCACCCGCACTCCATGGCAACCAATAACAACCCATCAGCAGAAATCAGTGATCAACCAATCAGACATTCCCAAAGGTTTCAAGAACGAGAACAGCGCGAAAATTCAAACATTCCAACTTTCTGATGAAGGCTCGAAGTACCGAGTCGAAAGCTCAAAACATTTAAATTACAATATATATATATATATTAAGATGAAAATGTTCTAGAGTGTGTATTATATAATTTCCATACCCAGCGCAAGCAGAAAGATGTTGTCTGCCGCGGCTGGGTCTTGAACCCGCGACCTTCGAATTACTAGATCGAC